CTGTATCCCACAGCCACCCTCGCGCACGATCGTCGCGGCTAATTTTTATTCGCGTGTTTCGTGATGACCATATTGCAACCACTCTGTTCCATTGTGTATGTGGTGACGCTGGTGAATTATCGCTTTTGGGTCTTGAAAGACATGCCGTTTTATGTTCTATGAATTATTGTCGCCCAGGATATCGCAACTTGTGGTGAGTCGGGCTGATATATTCATAATCCGTGGCCCCAACTCTGCCATCTCCTTCTCCCATCTCCCATAATTCATACGCCTAGTGTCTGCTAGTCGTCTTACCCCGTACTGGCTCGTAAGGATGGGGTGCTTAGTTCCAAACATCATCAACAGTAGTCTTGATAGACAGTGATATGACATCTCCAGGTTTGAGAAGTAAGGTACAGTGTCATTCTATCGGGTCTGGCAACGCTGGGGACATGTTAGTTTCCTGACTTCATGCTTCATTTATTTTCGTATCACACCACGGGCGCAGATCTGCAGCCGACGTCGCTATCACCATCACTATCGCCAATGCATTCTTTTGTATGTCTTAGCCTTGTAAGAAACACTGTGTCATCCCTGCCTGCAAACTTACATCTACACAAGCTGTCGTATAGTTCTTGGAAACGAACCATGACGTTCATGGGAGTACCTGAACGTGATTGTTTTCGTACATCTTTTATTCAGCACATGTCTCACTCCAGCCAATCCTATCAATAGCACAGTGAATCAGATTCTACGAGCCCTCTTCATGGGTACCTGCGATAGCTCTCCACTCTTCTTGAACATGCCATCTCAGCATGGGCAGCTGGTATATAGCCCGAAGGCTTGAGCCAGCTCTTTTCACTGGCTCACTTGACAACAGTGATGATAGTGACAACAACACCAATGATAGTGCCAACGACTCCAACGACGGGCGCGTACTCCTTCACATAGTTGAAACATGTATTCGTCTGATCATGCGTTGCCGCGGTATTGTTGGTATTCGAGGCTATTGTTTGGGTGTGGAAAGAATGAATGCCGGAGGTCGGAGGCTCGGTGTGGTCGCGAGGCGGTAGGACGTGCGTAGGCAGAGTGGAATCAGTGTTAACCAGCTGAGGTAGTCGAGAGTCGTTCTTAGGTAAATTAGATAATCCAGTTCCTTTATCGACTTGTTCTACAGCTGTATTGCCGGTGGAGAGGGACATTGCGATGCAATGCGACGCAGTACTTGGCCTACTCAAGTTGGGTCCCGTTAGCGTGGCGTCATGGTCCATAGAGCCGTTGTTGGGGTTGTTGGAGGCCAGGGGAAAGCTACGTACGTTGGTAGAAGTAGGACCTAATATGTGTTGCAGTGCGCAGAACAGAAAGGTCTTCCAGAGTCAGGTATACTTCGCCCTGCGATATGGCCGAGAAAAGCCTGCTCTTGTTTTCTCAAGAGCATTTGTCGGGCACTGGAAAGTCCATATATATATACTACTGATAGTACATGATGGTCAATCCGGACGCCTCTTCCTCTAACTGAAAGCAGCTGAAGAGATCGCACACCCTGACCAGGCCTATTGCGAACCGGTCAGTTATACTTCAAACCAACCAGAAGTCCGCTGCGAGCGATATGTTGAATGTGAGAATCGCAAGCACAGATCCAAGTTGAGGTACCCAGGAGAGCCATAACAACCGACCAGGATGCAGTCTCGAGGCGGAACCGGGGTATGGACCCGGGGTATGAACGGACGCATGGCTCCGGCGTCTCATGTGCAGGCAGTGTGGGGATTCGTGTATACGACCAAAGCTCTTCGCTAGGAGACCGTTCAGGCCCAAGTAGCTAGCAGAGAATAATGGATGTACGGGGCACTGCAGCGAACCAGGATATGGTTTCAAGCTTCGCAATCTCATGTGGAGTATGTGGGTTCTAGAGGGTAGGACGGGTAGAACGCCCAAGCCACGGTTCTAGAGGGCAGGACGGGTAGAACTCCCAAGCCACATCCCAATCGCGATGAATTGCTCACCCTCCTTTAGCGTGCGGGTGGTGCCCTAGCCTCGTGAAACAGCAGCGGCAGCGTCATGGCTCGCAGTTGAGTTCCGGCTGAGATGACGAGCTGACTGGTGAGGTATGCCGTGGTTGGCTGTCGTGGCTGTACACCAGTGCCTAGACACCTGCGGAAAAAGTGTTGCTCATCCACAACAGCCAGGGGCCATACCCCGGTTCCGTGTCGAAACTGCAGCCTAGTCGACTGCTGTGTCCCGTATGTACATCCATCGTTCTCGGCTGGTTAGCTTTCCTGTCTCGTACTCCTGCGTGCGGTTGGACACTCGCCACGCCGCTGCGTTGCACCGACAATCATGCGTGTTATGACCGGGGCGCTGGGTCTGAAGAGACGCCTCGTCCCTTAGGAGGTGTGATCCGAGAGTACATGCCTTGTTGGTCTGCATTCGCTACATCCGTGGTGGTAAAAGAAGAACACCGTCGCGTCGCGGCGACGCCTGACAACTGACCGGTATGTCCTGACGTCATTCCTTCTAAACCCTCACAACAACCGCGCGATTCCGCAGCCGACATCGCCATCATCAACACGCGCCACTGTTGACTCTGTGAGAATGAGCAATTCAATATAGATGTCGCAGAGGCGTATACACCGTTTTCTGATCAACATGTCCGTGCTAAACGGACCGCCATCACCGCCCGCCCAATGCACTGACTCAGGCGACGTGATGCTACCGCAATGATTGACGGATTTAATTGCCGAACCCTCGCATCTCTATCGCCGATTCAATTTCCATACTAATTCACTCCATTTTCGCGCAAACCCCTCTCTTTTCAACGTATTTTTTCCTGTCGCTACAACACCGTTATTCGTTGAGTACTTGCGCCATGGCCACTCGCGGCACCAACGACTCACAACCTCAAGAAACATCGCGATCTGACACCTCAGTAACACTGCAGGATAGCCATGAGGTGCCATCTTGGTATGCGCATAACTCGTTTATCCTAACTGGCTACCGGCCCGTTACAAAATCCGTCCCCCTCTGCCTTCGCAGCCTGCTCCAACTGCACAACGAGACCGTAAACATCTACACGCACCTCATTCCCGGCATCTTCGTTCTTCTAGCCAGCTACTCTTTCGATCGCTACTTCAACGCGCGATTTCCCCAAGCAACATGGACTGATCAACTCGTCTTCCGCATCTTTCTTACCGCCTCCGTAGTCTGCTTTGGTATATCGGCGGCGTATCATACTCTGATATGCCATTCAGAAGGGTATGCGAGTCTCTGGGTTAAAGCAGATTATGTCGCAATCATAGGGCAGATTGTAGGATCATTTATACCTGGTATCTACTTTGGATTCTACTGCGAACCAGGGTTACAGAAGCTATACTGGTCAATGGTAGGTTGTATATGAACTATGGGGATGGGATGTTGTATGACTGAACTAACCCTTCTAGATCATTACACTTGGGTCACTGACGGCAACCACGGTCATCAACCCCAGTCTTCACGGACCGAAATGGAAGACCTTACGCTTATCAACATTCATCGCAACGGGCTTTTCGGCGTTTGCGCCGATCTTGCATGGCGTGTCAATCTTCGGCCATGATCAGCTTGATAAGCAGACTGGCCTGCGTTATTACTACCTCGAGGGTATCTTGATACTAATTGGAGTTGTATTCTATGCGGTAAGGCTAGCATGTTCATCGATACGTCTTCTTTCTCGAGACCGAACTTTCGTTGACTGGTACAATAGACTCACTTCCCAGAATCTTGGAGACCGAAGAGATACGATATCTGGGGCGCATCACATCAGCTATTCCACGTATTTATCGTTCTCAGCGCTGTGGCACATTGGTACGGTGTGATGAGCGCTATGGAGTGGAATTACGTGAATCAGCGCTGTCAGTGGTCCTGAAGCCCGACGTGCTCAATTAGCCGCGTACTACAAGACCCTCTCTCACCCTCAACACATATGCCACTCTTACATATCCTCTATACATACTACTATGCCGGACGTCGTCGTCAAAACTGCCAAACAAAAAAGTAAAGACGAACGGACATAGCAAGACTCGAACTTGCATGTCCCGCATCACAGCCACCCAGCGGAGCTGAGTCAATAAGCTTAAAGCTGTATAAGCTTGGAGCATGTAGCTATGCTCGCCGGGCGCCCGGCAACGAACTAGAGGGTAGCTAGAGGTTGCTGGGCGGCGTGTAGCTACTGTGTGCGGGCGCCTTACCATTAGGCCATGTGTCCTGTGTGGGTTTTGATAAGAGACCGCGGAAATGATGGGTATGTGTAGAAGGAAAGTAGACGGGTGAGAGAGTTAGTGGCGTTGCAGAGTAGTAATGACACAGTTCTTTTATCTTATCCCTATATTCATCTGTATATAGTGCACCTTCTTTCTCAAGACATATACCGTCCTCTCTAGTTAGCCACTATTATACCTTCACCGCCTAGCTCTCGCCATCAAAACCAACAAAAAGAACCCCAATCCGAACACAGTAAGACTCGAACTTACATATCCCGCATCATCAACCGCCCAGCAGGACCAATAAGCCAGCGTTTCCGCCGTCTCACCTAACCTACCAGGATGTGCATCACGAAATAGCCCAGCAAGGTCAGTTCCAACGGTAGCGACTCATTTCCCCAATCTCACCAGACTTCTCGCACGCCCAACAACCAGCCTTCTTTGTTATATTCAATGGAGAACAGAACCTCTAGGGTTGCCCCCAGTCGGCCCTTTACTCCGGGACGAGAAAGCTGGTGCTTGATCAGAGCTAGAACCGGCCCCGTGCCGGAACTACGTTGGGCGTGCGTTCGCTAGGTTCTTGTGTTGCGGGTGCTGTACCGACTAGCCATGTGTCCTGTGTGGGTTGTTGATGAGGTGACGAGGGGATGGTGGATATATGTGAGGGAAGAGTGGGATAGGGTAAGTGTTGAAGGTGGTCAAACTATACATTCTGAAATCAATCCAGGAACTCACTCTATCCCGTGAACCCAATCATAACCTACACGTCCTCATTATCCACATCCCTGCTCATCGTATCATCCTCCCCCTAACCCACGCACCAAACCCGCCCTCATCAACGCTCTTGCTAAATGCAATCCAAAACGCCTGTTTTTCACTCACGGGGCTCGCACACCTCTCCACCATCGCTTTCACATTAACTTCCTGCAACCCCTTAATCGCCATGACCTGCTCCACCCACTCTAGATCCACGCCGCCGAAATCGCCGTTGCCGCCTAGCCACTCGTTCTTCATGCGGAGCATGGTGTCGAAATCAGAGGGTGTGATGGGGGTGATGGCGTCCCAGCCGTGGTCTGGTTTGCCGGATATGACGTTGAGGTTTAGGGTGCGGAGGGAGATTGGAGGAACTGCTTCGGAACTATCATCGTCGGAGGGAGCAGAGGGTGTAGCGAGGTATTCGCATAGACTTGCCCATTCTGCGCGGTCGAATTCCTTGCTGTATGGCAATGCCTTCTTTGTTACACTGATATGACGTATGGACGCTCGGCTTCTGGGTGTCAGATCGGAGAGGAAGGGGACGGCCGCTTCGATGCTGGTGTGGAAGGCGAAGGTGTAGGTTGAGTAGAGGATTTTGCTGGCTTCGGCGTGGATTTGCTGGTTTAGGGATAGGAGAGAGGGGACGGTGTAGCGGAGGTGCGATGTGTAGGGCGAGAGGAGGACGCGGTAGGTTGTTGGTGTTGTGGTAGTTAAGAAGGGACCTGTGGGATTGTTAGTATGTAATCAACGATGCCGTTGGGAAGCAGTATCCTAGGCTATCCTTCTAGGTTTACTCCAAGAGTGTAAACGTACCGGTTCTGATGTGGTATGTACTCCTTCGTCTCCACGTCTTCGGGCCTTGTGACCCTAGCCATGGATCCATGGTTCGTACGCTTAACGTACAAGCATCATTGTTCGTGTCATCTGAGAGGTAGGTATGGAAGTCGGGGATCAAGTTCGCGACTGACGTTCCGTTTCCGGTCGTTGGGGTCGTTGAGGGTAGAAGCAGGTACTCGTATATCATGAGACGGATCTCGAAAGGAAGGCGAAGCAACGGCGAGGCTGGAAGAGCGTCGGCTTGGTAGGATGTTGACTCCATGGTAGAAGTTTGCCAGTTGTTGGATTTGGCGCGATACGAACGAAGAGTGAAAAAGGTGTAAAACGTGTCGTGTCGCTTCAAGATACTGTGTGCTCTTCCTTCTTGAAGTACAGTCGTCCGCGTTTCTCAGCTTACGCACTCGATCGGTGTATCGCTGCAGCCAACAACACGTCTTCCCAATCTCCAGCTGATCAAATCCTCAGCCAGTTAAACGCGACAAGACACTCCCCAATCGACAAGACTCGACTCAAAAAGAAAAGACGCAGTCAATCAGCGCACAACGTAGACGCAACGTGGTTTTGCTTGTGTACCCGACAGACCATCAAGGTGTTGCGAATTGGACGCTTGAAAACAAACGCGTGCACTCGCCAAAAGATAAATTCCGGCCAGCACCATGATGACCTTGACGCATTCGCCGAGGCAGCTTTGCCGGAAAGGGTAAGATGCCAGATTGCTATCCTTGCAACGGCTTAGTCGTGGATCATGGCGCCGGTAGCGCGCCCGGGCGTAGATAGATGGATCACGTTCCGAGACCGTTATCGTTGATATTGGCGGCGGTGAGCAATATCGGCAGCGTTGATTTGACATTTGACACATGTGCCGGTGCCTGTATCGCTGTATGTGATTATTGATCGCGCTCTTTGTCAATTTCTAATCTCAGTCAGGTACCGAGGTAGTCTTGTCTGGAAACTTCCAAAGCAAGGGCGTCGATGCAAGCAGCGATGTCTGTACACCGCGACAACGCATAACGACATCCCGCAAAATCTCTCGTCATATCGAATGAGAAAAGCCTGCTATCGCGCAAGACCCTGATAACGTGAACGCACGCCGTTCCAAGGCCGGCCGACCCGCGATCACTTGCATAAACTGCTTTCTATCGGCCCTTTCGGAAACGACTCGGAATACATGCCCTGGCCTGAGCGCAGTGTGTCATAGCGCGCGCGATGGTCAGGAGAAGAGAATTTCCTTGCTAAGGCCCTGCAAAGGCTCCAAGTTTGCGTCAATGTTGCATGCGCGAGCAAACCTCGGGAGATGTTGAAAGAAAAAAAGTGGACATAGGATCGCCGGTTTCTCGGCGGCCAGGAAACGGTACGTACCTGCATTTGCTAGGCCCGACCCTATGCCAAGCATTCAACCTAAGTACTGTTAAGCTACGACAAGCACGACATGAGTTCACCATCAACGTCAAGAGAAGCGCAGTCTTGCGTCATGTTCAACGATATGCATTGCTCAGCTGTAGCAGCCCAACTGTGAACGCCATCGAGCTACCTAGATTTGCTCTTTGCCCCCCAAGTTCCCTAACCCATACCCTAATACAGTAGTTTCCCTTTCTCAAAGTACCGGAGAAAAGGGAAACCAAGCCAACTACAAGCAAAATCCAGAACAAAACAAGAATCTTTTTGAGTTTATCCCTCCCTTGCGGATTTACAAAACGCCTCGCGACTGAGCACGTAAGTGGACCCAATTGGATTGTGACATGGAACCTTGGAAAAAGAGAGGATGCAAGCGGAGAGGAACAAGAGGAGAAGAAAGGAGATTGTCATAATACAAAATCTGAGGCCTGTCAAGCGTATCATGGAAACATGCTTTTCGTGCCATCAGCCAACTCAAAGTGGACGTGAGAAAGAAAACAATGACCCCGTGTCGTACCAGCTCACGATGATGATATGACTAGGCCATATTCCTCTTAACAACGCGTCAAGCCTCTCAATCGTCCTGTATTTGCAGAATACGAAGCCTAGTGCTGGCCATAGTTTCCGCCCCAACCTCCGCGGTTGTAGCTGCCACCGCCATATCCTCCGCCAAAGCCGCCGTAGTTGCCGTAGCCACTCTGCTGCTGGTGGTTGCCAGAGTTCTGGTGGCCTAGACCACCGAGACCACCGAGACCACCGTACTGGCTGTTGCCGAGGTGGCTCGGGTAGTTGCCATAACCTTGCTGGGAGTGTTGGGGACCGCTCTGTCCTGGAGTGCTTTGGTTGGCAGAGCCGGGGCGACCAGGCTGAGCACCAAGAGCCGCTGGGCTGGGTCCGCCACTCTTGTAGTCGTTGGAGGGCTTCAGGGCGTCATCGTTGAACCCTTGGCTACCCTGCTGACCGTAGGAACTCTGGTGGAAGTTTCCTGGTCGGGTAATGGTATCGGGAATGGCGCCGAATGCAGCAGCGCCGGCAGTGGCGCTGGGGTTCTGAGAAGCTCCAGAGGCTGAGCGACCGTAGTCGCCGAAGCCTGCGCCCATACCGCTACCGCGATCATGCAAGGAGGAAGCGCCGAAGCCGCCTGCATTGGCGGGGGACGAAGAGTGCTGGTCGAATGAAGCTTGAGGAGACATGCCGTAGTGAGGCTGGTTGTACATGCCACCCTTTCCAAACGAACCATAGCCGGCTCCTCCCTGACCATAACCACCGAATTGGTTCACGTAGTTAGCGTAGTAGGGGCTTCCATAGTACGGGTGACTGTATGGGTAGCCTGCGTTGTGCGCGTTGTGCGCGTGCTGGCCTTGAGCGGCATGTCCTTGTTGGCCAGCCATGGCGGCGGGGTTGGGAGTGTTGTGTCCGCTGTTCTGAGCATCGCCGTAACGGCTCTGAGTCTACAATTGTGTTAGTATACGTTGGGAGAATATAAAGAGTTCTGTCTTAGCTGCTGTCCTTACTCTGCCCGTGTCATGTGCCATCTCTGCCCAAAGTTTCTCATTCACATGAGATGGTTCAGATTGGTCGGCATGATTATCGGTTTTGAGTTTGGCGAGCTGTTTCAGACCTTGAGCGAGTGCACTTACCTGTGGGATTTGGCTCTGCGAATAAGCAGAGTCAGGTCCAGAGCCAAAGGCACTGCCAGTGCGCTGCTGAGCAGAACCAGCCTCCTGCTGGCTTTGTGCGATGGGCTGACCGTAGCTTCCATAGTAATTCTGGTATTGCGCGCGTTGTTCGGCAGTGAGGTAGTTGGAGGGGTAACCGTCTGGGGCAGACGAGAAGGCACCAGGCTGTGACGGGGCCTGGCTTTGTTGGCCGGGGTAGTCGTAATTCTGCGATTGCGAGTGGTTCGACTGCGGGATCTGCTGGCCGAATGGATCGTATGGCTTCTGCGGCGGGGCGGAGGCCTCTGATTGACCATACCTAGCAAACTGGTTGTATGGCTGGTTCGACTGAGATCCTTGGTTCTGCATAGCCTGAGATGCAAGCGGGTTCGAGGGAGACTGCTGTAGGCCGGGCTGATGTTGGGGCACAGGAGGCAGTCCAGGGGCCTGCTTTGGTGTAGGAGCGGCCTCCTGTTGAGGGGCATCTTGAGATGCTTGGCGGGGAGCGGGAGGTAGGGAAGCCCTGGGCTGCGCGACAGGAGAGTGTTGGGGCGGCTGAGTCCTCGTCTCCGCCTCTTCCCTGTCTTCGTCGACATCTGGATCCGAGCCGTCGCCCAATCCCATGCTACCGAATTGGACTGCTGCCCTGTCCACGGCGCGGTCTCCAGGCATGACCACGGCCTCCTGCTGCTCCATCAACCTCCTCTGGTAGCTTGCGCTTCGGTTCGGGGTTCCAGAAGTCGCCTTCAATGCGGTGGTTTGGAATCCTCCAATGGCGGGGCGACCGATGGGTGCCTGTGTAGGACCGTTCAAGGGGGTCGCTACAGCACTTCCAACATCCTTCGAGCTTGCGACAGTGCTGAAAGCTGTCTCCGTCTTGGGTGGAATGGACGTGTCAGGCAGGTGCTCAACATTCTCTTGCGTAAGTTGATCTCCGGAAGGTGTGAGGGTGACGTCAGGGGCACCATCCACACTCTTGTCCGGCGTCATCTTGGACGTATCTTCGGCGGTGATGGGCGGTGTCTGTACAGCCTCATCTGCAACTGGGGGTATAGGCAGTTCTTCTGCTTGCACGGCAGGCTCTTGGGCAACTTGGTGCGCGGGCGTCTCGTCGGGTACTTGTGAGGGCACTTCGGGGGCAGCAGCGGCGGCGGGCTTCGGAGCTGCCTTGGGGACTGCGGGGACGGGCTTGGGTGCAGCAAACATGCTCGCCCAAGTCTTCTTCGCGGCTGTCATGGTAGCCTCCACGACAGGCTTTATGGCTTCGGGGGTCGCTTCAGGCGCGTGTACGGTCTCGTCGTCCTGTTTGGTCTCCTTGGACTCTTCTGGCACTGTGGGCGTGTCCCATGCAGCGGACTCGGTAGTCGGGACTGATCCAGCAGCCGTACGAGGTCCACCGGCGGCGCCTCCACGACCGCCACGAATTCCACCGCGACCACGATCAGTGCCTCGTCCGCCACGGCCGCCGCGACCGCTGTCGACTCCACGACGGGCTCCGTCGGGCCGGCCACGCAGGCTGGACGCGCCATCGAGGGGGACGTTCTCCTTGGCCTTGGAGCGGGACCTGTCCTTTGCTTTCTTTGGGACTTCTGAGAATTGTGAGACGGCGCCTGCAGTGGTTAGTAATGTAATCACGTGCGTGTAAGTCGTATATGCAGTCGCTTACCCTCACTGATCTTCTCGATGGTGGTCTGCAGGTCGCCGTCAGATTCTTCGATTGCGAGGACGAGATCGGCGTCGGTCCAGTCGGGGAATAGCTCCTTCAGTGTGGATAGCTGTGACTGGTAGCGCTTCTTAAGCTCGCCCAGTTCGCCCTGGTCTGCCGATGTGTCAACGTTGGAGGACGCGCTGTCGCCGTTGGTCTTTCTGGGGCCCCGGGAGCCGTATGATGCCCTGCCGCCGCGGGCAGAGCTCCTGCCTCGCGCAGGCCGAGTTTGTGCTTCAGACATTGGATGTGTGTGATGTGTGGGCAAGCCGCGGGGGACTTATTTGGTGTGTGTATGTGTGGGCGGATTGGTGGGCAGGCGAGGTGATGATGTAGAGGGAAGGTAAAGTTGGGGAACAGCTAGAGGAAGCGACCACGTCGGCTTGGCGCTAGAGCTTCCAATGGCTGAGGACGCGGCAGGGTCGCGTTGACTGGGGCTGGAGCAGGCTGGCGGGTGTGCAGATGCGAGGGGAGGGCTGAAGGGCAATTGGTCTACGAATAGCA